TGAAGCCGATGGTGTCAATGGATCCGGAGTCCTCGACTTGGTGGGGGCATTTCCCAGCAGCAAACCCCCCACCCCCCCCCCCAAACCTGCTGCATCAACACAAAGTGTCAACGCCATCCATCTTGTGCTGGCTGGGGGCTTTTGGGGTGGGGGGGGGTGGGATGGGTTTAGGGTACGGCGACGTGTGAGGCGAGCCTGCTGGAGGGGGCTGCCGGCCAAAAGCAGGAAACCTTTAAATAACCGTCAGTCGCCTCGGCGATGATCAAGGTGAGCTAGAGCGTTAATCTAAAGCACAGCCTAGCGTCGTCATATTGGTAACTTTTATAATCTAAAATAAAGATCAAAATCTGCCAATAATATAACTTTATCAGAATCACGGGCTGTTTTCATACAAGCGGTGCTATGTTTCTGGCCCATTTTTATATCATTTTCGAATTCTTTGATCAGGTGAATTGAAATGTGCCGTTCTTCCTACCCGGGCACAGTTGTCAACCAGGCAATAAAGCCCATCACTTCCTGTAGGACTTGAACCAAAAATGTAATTTACATCAAGCAGAGTGGAAGGCAGGGAGCTCCCTCCTCCTGTGCGCCTGTTCCCTGTGGCCTTCCGCTGGCGTTCCAGGACCCGTGGCTGGGTGGAGGGCTGGGGGGTTGGGGCTGGGGGGGTGGTGCTGGAGATGAAGCCTTTGTGGAAACATCAGGTGGGACACGGCTGGCGCCCCATGCTGCTCCGTCAATCTGTTTCCTGCTCTGGCCTACAGGGGGTCCCGGTGTTCAACCCAAATCATTGGAGAGGCAGGCGCGTGCGAGCGAGCATGTGTGTGTGTGTGTGTGCCTGTGTGTGCATGCGCGTGTGTGTGCCTGCGTGCAGTTTACTGCTAAATATGCTTTGCCACTCTCCAGATTTCTCAGCCGATGGCGGCATTTGCAGCAATCAAGAGTGTAAGGGAAGCTAGAACAAGGACTATAAACACGCATCGTGTTTACAAGAAAACAAAAAAAAACAAGGAGGAACTATATTGAAACTGACATTAATATGGAAAGCTAAAACTATACTATTATTTTTAAAGTTATAGAAAAGTCATATTTGCTCTAAAAAATTCATATAAAACACTATGAATCCAGGTAAATACTATGCATGTTCTTTTGTGGAGCATATTCCCTTACTACATTGTGGTGTAAACTAGTGTGATGATCCATCCATTTATTATCCGCGTATCAGGACCAGAGGGAGACCAGGAGCATACCACCACAGCACAGGCACAAGGCTGGGGTACGGCCTGTGTGGGATACCGGTCCATGGAAGGGCATTTACATGGAGGGTATATACACCATACAGGGTATATACACCATACAGAAAGCAGGGTCAGATTCAAACACCCAACCCCAAAAGGATGCAATACTACCTACTGCGACACATGTGGTACAAGCTATTTTATTTACATTATTTACAAGTTTGTTTAACCTACAACGGACTGGCATCCTATCCAAGGGGTCACCAGCCTTGTGCCCTGTGCTGCCTGTGATACATTCCAGGCTTCCCCGTGACGTGACCAGATCATTGGAAGACGGACGGGTGGATGGGTGGGTATCTTTATTTCACTGTAAACCATTTTGGTTTTGTAGTGTTATCTTAGACGTTTTTCTGGGAAGCTCGTCGACAGGCAAATGAAAACCCACAGAGTGCAGGTTATCAGGCTACCATACGCAGCAGAAGAGCAGAGCCCACACAGAGTCTGCGGCTGCCTGGAACTGCGCTCCAGCAATCTGCCGTCACTCCCCTGCAAGCCGGATGCAACCGCTGTTCCAGGCCGGATCGCCACATTGTGCCCACATCGCGCCCACATTGTGCCCACCTTGCTCGACAGGACCGAAATCTGGTGGTTGGACACCATGACCTGGCACTGGTACCCAGTCCTGCAGCTTTTCTTCCCACAGCATCTGTCGGTTGAGGGTCCCTGTCACTCCCTTTTGGTCTTTGCATCATTTTCTTCCTCTGCTCTTCTCTTTCACCCTACAGTCAAACAGTCTTGGGGTGAGATCCTTCCCCATGAAGGGTCTTGAATTACGACATCCCCCCCTTGTCCTGAGGCTGATATCCATGAAGCAGTTTCCTCTTGACAAATGCAAGGGACAAATGTGTGTTGAATGCAGTTCCCAAAATGTAAATCCTCTCTCAAGTGTAAAACAGAGAAAAGGCCTTGTCCGTCCATTCGAATGAGTGCAACACTGTGTTAGAGAATAGGCTGTAGTCGTACGTATTATTAAAGGATTACTGAGACAATTGGTATACCTTACAGGCCAGTTGTACTGTATGTTTGAAGAAGAATTTGTGTTTGCAGTTGTTGTGCGGCGATTGTGTTTGTGTCAATATCCCAACAGACCCACCAAGTGCAGTAAACGCAGTCCCTGAGATTGAGGCAGCGCTATTGATTCCATAAACTCACGTCAACACTTTCATTCATCCAAGATCCCATTGAGTTTCACTGACCCAGACGCAGCTAATGAGCCAAAACAGGATGACGTACTTTTGGGGTAAGTAGCCCTATGCCAAAAAAATGCCTTGATGGCAGAGCGCGTGCTGGCAAACCCTGGGTGACACATTTCGTCCAAAGACCAGGTCTTTAGACGGTCAAGAGGAACGGAAGGTCGCCTATATTAGACTCGTCCATTCTGTGACAAGGTGACAGCACATTTCCTGGTGTACGGTGGCGCTGGCATGATAATCATGTGCGCTGCTCATCATGCGCTTTACTTGCACATGATCTGCAAGAACAGAACTCACAATCCAGGCGATATTTGACCGCCTCTGTGATGTACATATTGCGGCCAACCAGCGATCGCAGAAAACCGTCTACATTAAAGCACACCTTCTCCACATCTGAATGCAAAGACATGCGGATTTACTG